AGGGAGGTCTGAGGTAAGACAGACCTCCAATCAACCAGGGAGGTCTGAGGTAAGACAGACCTACAATCAACCAGGGAGGTCCGAGGAAAGACAGACATCCATGCGGCCTACCTCCATTGGTTGCATGAAAGGTGTGAAGGCCAGTCTATGCCCGGCTAAGCCTTTACACCGACCCACGCCCAAGTGGCACTAACCTAGGTCACTATCCAAATCCAGGTTTTGCTAAACCTGGGCATTAAGGAAATTCGAGGCCTTATGCGAATTTAGGAAATAAAAACAGACACAGGCCTCGATGCAAATAAAATTCCTGACTCCAAAATCAATGGAGAAAACACAAGATCAGTTTCAGAATTCAAAACAGCATAAGAAACATTCATCCTATATAAAAGCTGATCAGATAAAATTTCTCAAAAATGAATTGATTAATTGGTCTCTCTAAATTGTCCTAAGGTGTGAATGTGTATGCGTAAGGATAAGTGTGTTAGATCAGTGTTTCCCAACCCTGGTCCTCCAGGCACACTGTCCTACATGTTTTAGAAGTTTCCCTGCTTTAATGTGCCTAATTCAACTGATTGCAGTTCAGCAAACGCCTGTTAATCAGTCATCGATTGAAATTAGCTGGACTGAAGCAAAGAAATACCTAAAACATGCAGGGCAGTGTGCCTTGAGGACCAGGGTTGGGAAACACTGTGTTAGATGATGGATGGATGAATGAATATTTGTTAAAAGTGTCTGACAGTAGAATATGAAACAGAGAATCTGTGAAAATCCCTCTGACTCTGCTACTGTCCAGAAACAACCAATCAGAACCAAAAATTATCTGTTGAATGTGTTTCAGCACATTCAACACATTAGACTACTAGTGTAGTGAGGATATGCAATTGGCGGAAAAACACCCTAACATTATATCATCATTAATAATTTGTAGAATGATTTAGAAAACTAAATGCAATGCAGGTTTGTCAAAACTATCAGCCCATATTAGAACTTAGCATTGATTTCCCTTCATTTTAGTAGCTGTGATTTTGCCTAACCTAGACATTTTCCCTAACCCTAACCCTGCCTAGTCTATTCCTAACCCTATCATTAATTAAAACTTAATTCACATCTTAAATCTAAATGTTACCCTTGACCTAAAGCAATGAGTCCATCATACTAGGACACTGGACATATAATGGCTCATTCACACCAAATGCGTTTTGAGCGTCAGGTGTATCTGGTTTACATTCAAAGCCTATGTGGAGGCGTGTCGAGGGCCGTTGCGGTGCGTTCCGAGCGTCTAGCGGCCGTTTGGATCGTTTGACTCATCAAGCGCGTCCAACGCTCCACATAGACTTTGAAAGTAAACCAGATTCGCCTGACGCTCAAAACATGTTTGGTGTGAATGCACGATTAGAATGTTCAGTTCCTATGGTAACAGTGACATCAGCGGTGATGACATCACTCTTTGATGCATCAAAGGAATCTCTCTCTTGAGTGTAGGACACAGACTGTTTTTTTTTTCAGTCTGTGTGCTACAGTCCTGTTTCAGACTTTTAAGTTATAAGTTATGAATCTTCTGCAGGAGCTGTTAAAATTATTTGAAGGCACAGAATCAGCCCAGTACAGGTTTGCATTCTCAGGTGAGAGAGACTCACCTGATATAAGTTAATTTTTCGGTACTGGAATTACACCGAAGATTAATTTGTTTAATCAAAGCACATTGTGAATATGTATTCATGTATTCCATCTTAAGTTCAGAGCATACTGGTTTTTTTGTTGCTTTTGCCACTACTAGATGATATTCATGTAGGATATAACATAAACAGCACTATTCAGAGATGCAGTGAGTTTAACAGATATAGAGGGGCCCAAAATCAAATTCCGCTTTGTCCCCAGGGAGGCTTGGACCGGCAGCCCTGATGCCAACATCTCTACAAAACATATTAAAGATTGTGATTGTAGCATATGTTACACACACCAGGACTGGTGTCAGTGTAACAGATGCTGATTTTCCTGTAAAAAGTAAAGAACAGTTAGGAGTGATGAGGCAGAAACAAATCTGTGCTTCACTAATCCTCCTGGAATCTGTTCTGATTAAACATTTATTAAACATTTCCAAACAGCACCATCTCTGATCTTTCTTCAAAATATCATTGTGTCCATGTTATTTTCATTGTCATTCTATACAATATTTATTCCTGTAATAAACAGTTTTAGATCCTTTAATACAAAGGTACAGCTTATGTCACACACTTAAGTCTCAGAATAACTGCCATTTGTTACCCCATCTGCTACTGCATAAGGAATATCCATATATTTGTATTTTTTTTATCTGTACACCAGCATGTTCACAGACACAATATAGCTAAACAGATTCGATTCATGTAACATAAAAACAATCTAAACATCATAACAATATTACTTTCCAACAACTTCTAGAACAGTTTTACTTCACAGCTGATAACTGACGGTATATTAAACAATCTGTACATAACATCAGATTGCAACAGCTCCTGTGCAGTAGCTTTATACCTCAGCTAACTAGAAACGCCGTCGATCTTTTTCCTTCCCGGCGCCCGTTAGTTCAGTTACTATGACAACGGTAAATAAAACACAAAAGGACTTTATAATCACCTGGATCCAAACAGCTGTGAGTGTGTAAATGTGTTTGTGTATACCAAGCTTCTCCATAAGGACGTTCAGTAGTGGGTGTGAGGATCCACAGGATCTTCACCTTCTTACCATTTTACTTTCATGAAGTTCAGCTACTGCGTTAATGCACAGCGGGATGTTTGGCAGGCGGTGGGGGGGAAGTAAGCGCTCGCTCCATCCTTTTTTGTTAATAAGCTGCCACACATCCACAACGCCGATAGCACCCCCCTAAATGAACCCTGCTCCGAAAAGCTTTTATTGCCGCCATCGCAGAGCTCCTTCAGCAATAAGTAAAGACGTGCCCTGCATTTATGCTAGGTGGTGAGCAATTAAAGCCTGTGTTCACTAATTTGTGTTTTGGTTGCCTGATCTGTCGCGATCCGCAGCTCAGATCTTCCTCCTGCAGCCTCACTCCTCATGTGTTCTCTCCTTCCTCTGCTTTGCAGGTACGACTTGGACTGCAAGAGCGACAACCTCTCTAAACACGTGAGTTTCTCCTTCGCTGGCTCAGTAATCAGTCAAGTATTCATTTTGACACAACAGGACCATATTTACTTGTTGCTGTACAAAGGCAGCATGATTTGAAACCGAGTGTTTCGCCAAGAGGATCACAGCGACTTTTCAAGATTGAAGGAATGTAGATGAATTTTACACCGTGGTTTTTTGGCATTTTTTTTCTGTATACTCCGGTAGCCAAGCAACGACATTTTGTTGCCAGATTCACTGTCGTGTGGTTGTGCAATAACAAATCAAGTCTAAGTCTATTAAACCTGTAGTTAGTTCCACCCTTTACTGTCACTTCCCGACACAACTTTTAGCAGCCTGCTGCTCTAGTTTCACCTGTCTATCTTTCCTGCTCCACCTCTGCGCTAATCTGCCGTCCTTTCCCCTCCACGCCTCCCTCATCTTCGTGCTCACTGCCAACTGCTGGCGGAGCTGCTTTCCTCGGCCCGATAGCCCGGCTTGCCCTCCGGCTTCCACTGTGCGCTCCGAGCGGTGCGAGCGCAGAAAGCTCACTCAAAGCAAGAAGGCCAGGGACGCTTGGCTGCACCCTGTCGTTACTGTGGATGTGTGGGATTTAAGATCTGGCACTCGGCGGTGGCTCCATTGTCCAAGCAGAGTCCGTCCACTGTCGCACAGCTATAAATAACTGGAAGAAGGAGGGGAAAAAAAATGATAGAAATGCACACGAGTACAGTATTTCCAGTGGCAGCTACCTTTGAGGATGCCTTCATCCTCCCGTCAAAGCAGATGCACAGAGCGCTTCCCCGCCATATGGCGTGCATACCTTGCGTGGGGAGAAGTGCAACGAAGGGGGTTTGCTTCAGAATAATGAAGGAGATATGAGACGTTGAGTTTTTTCTGAGTAATTTACCACTGTCTGGTGAATTTAGTTACATTTCTTTCTCTTCTAAAATTGGTATGCATTGATATTCACAGATGCTCATGGAAAAAGTAAACTCTAATCATGGAGCACCGACAATGCCCTGCTAAGGTGTCACATTCACTTAGTCCCATCTCAGCTACAGACTTCAGAGTCTTTTAATGGAGTTTAGTGCAATAGACCAACACAAAGCTGTGCATCACTGTAAAGTTGATTGGAAGGTATGCGTGGTTATAAAAAAATGTTCTGTGAATGAAAATCATAAAATGTGTTCTGTGCGTTTGTATTCAGCCTTCTATTCAAAACACCAGTGCAATCATCTGCCTTCAGAAATAACCTAATGGGGATTTTTCTGCAGAGTTTTGTTAGGTGCCTTTAATTGTGTGGCACCTTTCATAATCAGTACAATAATAAAAAAAAGGCTTTACAGGAAAATAAAAGAACAGAAACATGACACATTGATGACGCAAAATACTTTAAAACAACAATAGTAAAACATTTAGCCATCACAAAAAAAGTTAGTGTTTCTGGACATCTGCAGTTTCTGACCTTCCGCCTCACAGAGCAGCTCTGTCCTGCTACTTCCCCACTCATCTCCTTCAGACTAGCCAGCAGCAATTGGCAAACACCCGGTTGAACTGGGCATCAGCTGAGCTCATTATAGGAGCTTCTTCTCAGTGGAACGCTGGTAAAAACGTTGTTAAAAGGTTAACAGAGGAGCCATGTTGTGATAACTTTCTGAAGCAGGAGTTTCAGAAAAGCAGGAGTTTTTTTTTAAAGAGACAGAGGCCCAAACTCAAGGTGCTAATTACAAAGTAAATTTTCATTTAAGTCAAATTTTTATTATAGATAATCTTTTTCTAACAGCTGAAGTGAACATAGCTAGTGGATTGTGCTATAAAATGTCACTATGTGCCTGGAAAACACATAATGCTGCCCCTTTAAGAAGTTACAAAGGGCAGGCAGTCAACAGAGATGCTTTCACTTTAGAAAACAGCTCATAGATTGCCTTAAAAGCCCTTTTTCAGCCACTTGATCAATTTTGTTGCTCCTCTTACAAATGCGCTTCTGAACACACCTAACACATCGTTTAGCATGCAGTCACACAAATCTAGCTCGAATAATTCACTAGTCCCTCTTTGCTGGAGCTACGCCTGCGAAATCTGAAATCCCTCCGGCTTTATCAAAAGATGCCAAATGTTGTGTTACTGGCTGAAGCAGTCACTGCTGGCATCCGAGGAGCCCAGGTCCCAGTGCTTGGGTTTATTTATTTTTTGTTGGCAGTGTCCTTACAATAATAGGATACTGTCTTTGTGTGCCGTTTGCATGGTTGCAGCTAATGTGGCTAAGACGGCCATCTGTTATCTTCCTTCTTTCCATGCTCACATAGACCTCAGTTTATGAATCTGTTCTCATTTACATGTTTTATTACTTTTATTTAATTTTTTTCAAATAAATCGATGTACTGAAGTGTGAAATATGAATACTACTCATCCGCACATCTGTTCTGCTAAAATCTTGTTTCTCAATAATAATTGTTACATTTACAAGTAAAATGATCATGGCAAACAGAACATTACAGATGACAGGCTGCTATTTTCTTTGTACAGACTCATTAGCAGCTCTTTGAGTTCTTTCTATGGATGTCTCTTCAATTACAGAACAGTCTTTTATTCGAATCTTAAGCTACGCCCATCAGGGTTTAGGAGTGTTGTAGTTATGCATTTCAAGGATTCGCCTTCACCACATTGTGCGACTTCCATTGAAATGACTGTAGGCATGTTTGAGACTCTTATTTTGAAATAAGAAAGGAAGTGGTCTTTCAGTTGCCCTGTTGTGTTGACAGAGATTGCTCTTCAGGCCAGCCAAAAACTGCAGTGGCCCAGAAGGGTCAACATGATGCAAAAGCCACGATGGCTTCATGCTAAAACAGAAGTTATGCGATAATGGAGGTTATGCTAGCAAGGTTAGTATAACTTCCGTGGCTTTTGTTTGTGCTTTTTGGCATTTGTTGTAGAATTCTAGCCTCTATATATATAATATATATATATAGATATATATCTATATATACATTTCTGGACATCTCAGTCCAGAAATGTGCAGTTCTAGGCACAGCCAAGATACTGCGCAGAACCCTCAAGCTCCCAGGCCTCTGGTAGAGGACCCGAGCTCAGAGGATGAAAGAGACCACCCACAGAGGGTGAGAGGGGAATTTTTATATATATATATATATATATATATATATATATATATATATATATATATATATATATATATATATATATATATATATGTGTGTGTGTTTTGTGTGTTTGCACTGGGGGAAACTGGACTGAACACAAATTAAAAATTCTTCTAAAATATTTTTTGATTTTTACGACACCAAAAGCTGTGGTGTCTAAATTTCCTCAAAACGTATTGCTGAAATTTGCTGAGTCATTCTTTAGAACCAAAAATCATCTCATTCCATGAGTCTGATATATTGTTACACCCCTACTACTGTGTTAAAGACATAATGTCTTTACTATTTCTTTAGCATCAGAATATAAATAGTAGAACATTTTGAAAACATAAATTAAATGTCCTAAAATACATGAAGCAGCATTTTTTTTTCAATATTTTCATCAGTAAAAGATATCTCCAGCTATAATTAAATGTAGCACATACCAATCTAACTTACTTTAAGCTCCAGTGACTTTGTAATTGTACTCTTCTATTTTCTCTGAATAAATTGATTAGGTTTCAGAGACTTTGCGTCAAAATTCATTAAAACTTTGTTTAAGACACACAACACATTTTCAATTTGCTACATATTTCCTTGCAATACCATAAAAGTATAAAAGTGAAGTAGAGACCTGGAGGAGGCAAATAATCATTTACTAAACTATCACCCACAATCTGCTTTCCCAATTGGAATGAAAGTAAAACATCTGAGTTTCAAGTATAAAAAAAATGTAAACTGCAGCATAGACATTAGCTACAAGATGGCTGGAAAGTGTCTTCTATGTCTCCATCTGTATCTTCTGTAGACATGTGACAGTAAATAGACCAAATTTACAGTTTATAGTGCCTTTCTAGTCACTCAAAGCACTTTACAGCAGAGCCACGTTGACCCAGCTGTGTTCCCAGTTTTACGCACATTCATACACCGATACACAGATCAATAGGCAACTTGTGGTAAAGTGCGTTGCCGAGGGGCATGTTGACATGTGGCAGGAGGAAGGTGGAAATAAACCCACACGTTTCAGATCGCAAGACATCAATTCTACCCACTGATCCACACCTAACCGTGGTTTAAGAGGCTTTAAATGTTATGGAGACACACCTACAGTACAAAAGATGGATAAATACATTGTTTAAAAACATTACACTTATGCTCCACCTCTTGCAGTGTCTTCTCCACATCAAAAACTAGCTACGTTTCCATTGGCCGTATAACTACGCAAATTGGATTGGCTTCCTGGAGGCGAGGTTTCAGAAAGAGCAGGTGTTTTTAAAGCGTCAGAGGCCCAATATGAAGGCGTTAAATTACAATATCAAATTTCTTTTAAGTCATATGCTGTGAAATATACAGCATTTTTACAACAACTGAAGGTAGTGTAGTTATGTGGTTGTGTTATAAAATGACACTATGTGGCTGGAAAACACATACTTCTTCCCCTTTAAGTTTTCACTTTTCATTAGTTTTTCCTTTTGGATGAAGTGACCTAAAACTCCTTGTTAGGTTCAGACAGAGTGCCATGGATTGTTTTACCGTGTTTGTAAGAACTAATACACGTTCTCTGGGTGATTTAAGTTTGGAGCTTAATGAGCTGTGGAAGCTTTTGAACCTTTTTGGGTTTTTGTTTTTTTTTCTACTGCCATCATCATTCCAGTTAATGTAAGTTGCCTCAACCTCTGGTCCTGGACGTTGCGAGGCACTGCGTCCGATTGGCTGCGGCTGCTAGTTAGCTTGCAGCACACTCCATGAGGAAAGGCCAGAGTGTTTTTGCCATCTCCGTTTTTGCACTCAGCACCAGCAAAGATGTTTGGAGCTGCTTTCTGCCCGCTGGACTCAACATGGCTCATTTGTCAAGGACTTTTACACACATTCACACACACG